AAGACCGTAAAAGAATTAAAATAATTGTACAAGGCTAGAAATCCAGAATTCCCCCACCCCTGCTTTATTTTCCATGCTTTTTAGGTTCCTTGAATATTTAAGAGAATACCAGACGAGTGAATCAAAGTTATTGTCAGATTTTAAAAACTAAATAATTACATATGATGACCTAATGCTTTAAATCTCGTTTTAGGTGGAAGAACGATCGCCCTTTTTCAGCAGATGGAAATTACCGTCCTTTAGCCAAGACAAGACAACAGAATATCAGCATGCAGAGGCAGGAAAACCTTCGGTGGGTGTCGGAACTCTCTTACGTGGAAGAGAAAGAACAATGGCAAGAGCAGATCAATCAGCTAAGGAAACAACTTGATTTCAGTGTCAATATTTGTCAGACTTTGATGCAAGACCAGCAGGTAAAGTTTAGATGAAAGTAATTTTTTTTATCTTGTTTTTGAAACAGTACACATTTTTCTCAGGTCATCAGTAATTACCATGAAAATTTTTCTCCCCATAGACTCTGTCTTGTTTGCTACAAACTCTTCTCACGGGTCCTTACAGCGTTTTGCCCAGCAATGTTGCATCTCCTCAAGTACACCTTATAATGCACCAGTTGAACCAGTGCTATACTCAGCTAACGTGGCAACAGAATAATGTACAAAGGTGATCTGTTCCTTACAAATAGACTGTGTTATAAGTGCTAAAACTGAACAAGGCTTCTACAGTTACCTGCTGGGAAAAAGGGCATGGGCCAGATTGCATAGTCAGACATTCTCTGTCACCCGAGAATTTTATGAGCAATCATTTGCCCAATGTCCCCTCTCAGTACTGTGGACTTGACTTTTGTTTTAAAAAATGTACAGTATTCAGATTTTTATTTAATAATAGGTAAATTGTGTATAAATTATACCTCAGTAAAGTTATAAACAATAAAAACGAGTTTCTTCTAGTTACATCTACTGTCTAATAGAAATGCTAAGTGCAATTATTGTTTTAAAGGCTAAGTTACTGCGTTAAGCCTGCAGGACAAGCAGATACTTGTAGTAATTATCAGAGCAGTCTGTTCTGTATGCTTTTGAATCATTTCTTACATATATTCTTTCTGAATATACTTTACATAGCTGGTACCACTGATTATTAAATCACTAATTAAATTTTTGTAGGTTGAAACAAATGCTAAATGAACTTATGCACCAACAAAATCAGCGTCCAGAGAAACCTGGAAGCAAGGAGAGAGGCAGTAGTGCCTCCCACCCACCTTCTCCCAGCTTATTTTGTCCTTTCAGCTTTCCTGCTCAGCCCGTGAATCTGTTAAACCTACCTGGGTTTACTAATTTTTCATCATTTGCTCCAGGTAAGTGTCTGAAAACCTAAAGGGAAAATAAATGGGTGCAAACTGGGAATATCATTTGTCCATTGTACGGACTTTAATCAGTCTCTTTTGGAATGGCAGGCAATGTTTGCAGAGAAAGCTACGAACTCTTTTCTACACTGATTCTTTATAGTGAAAACTTAAGCTTAATATGGTTGCTAATGAAATTAAACTATTTTTGAGTGATTGCTTAGTCTTACACCTTTGAATTATTCACAACTATTTATTAAGGAAAAAAGGAATTAATCCATTCAGTGGCTGCTCTATGTTAGGCACAGTGTAAAACATTAGGAGAATAAAAACGAGGAAGACAGCATTCTCCCACAGAAGCTTCGTGTCTTTGTAGGGAAATCTACTAGACTAATGGTGAGCACTTCATTCAGGCTTATGTTCAATTTTATTTAGCTTAAGCTTTTATCCAGACTTTTTTCTGCACCTGTTATGTGCCAGACACTATATAAATGACTAGGATTTGGATGAGTGTGACTAATGCTTTAAGGAATTTGGACTAGTGAGGAAGCTAAAAATGTCAGTACATGTTTAGGGCGGTGCCGTGGGTGCTGTAGCACTGGTGCACATGAGATGATGAGGGGCCTTGCTTGTCATTGGGACAAGTGACTGGCAGCAAATCTGTTTGTTCCAGAAAGTGTTACTTAAACTAAAGAATGAATAGAATTTATTTCTAGGGAGCTTAGAAGGAAAAAGGCTTTGGAATCAATAGAACCACTTAGAATTACAAAGTCTGTCACTTACTTAGGGAATTGGGTAGTCATTAAATATAGTAGCATTTCGGGCCATTGCAGGGGAGAGTCACTGATGTGGCTGCAGAGCCACAGAGGCCTTCTGTGCTGTGCAAAGAAGTTTTGACTTTGTTGCAGACTAGAGGGACCTTGAAGGATTTTGAGCAGGGTACAGCATGAGATTTGTATTTTAGGAAGATTACACTAGTGTTAGTGTCAAGGAGAGATTGGAGAGAAAGAGCTGAGAGTCTTAGAGCTGGTGAAAAGAAAACAGGCGCTGTTGCAGTGATATCAGGAATGATTGTTTGGTCTAGGTGTTGGCAGTAAGTCTAAAGAAAAAGGAGTATTTCAAAAGACATTTTGGAGGTAGAAGAAGTGACCAGTTAGATAAGTCATAGAGGAAGAGGCGTTGAAGGTGTTTGCCTGGGAATATAGGAGAAAAAGGGTTGGGAAAGCTTTGTGAATATGAATATAAATAAATAAAAATTCTAGAGTGTATTTTAACAGGGTTATAAAACAATGGCATTAAAAATCTTAAGCTTCTTAGTTCACAAGTGTCAACACTGGCAGCAAACGTTTTTTGAGTTGGCTTTTCAGTAACAAATAATGAAAGAAATTGCACATTCAGTTCCTTTTCAGTGTACTGTGCTTCATACCAAAGCCAGCCCTGTACAGACTCTCCTTTCTTCATAAACTAGTTCACTTTTATGAAGCCTTCTCCCCCAAGGTGTTAGTAGCCCCTTTCCAGTGCCCCTCGTCAGCACTCTGTATAAGTATTTGTTATGTTCTAGTTTCCCAACTGAGTGGAAGGAACATAAGCTTTGGAGCCATTCAGAACTGCAGTCTAACCTGCTTTTTCATTTATGGGACATTTGATCTCTAAGCCTATTTTTGCACTGATAAAATGAATAGAATACCTGTTTTGTAGCACTGTTTTGCACATTAAACAAAATTACATGCGAAGTGCCTGCAGTAGAGTCTGGCACCCATTAACCATTTGACAAATGTCAGGTACTGTTATTTCTAATTCCAGCTCTTACGGGATGGGGTCATTATTTATTTTGGTATCACCAATGCCAAAAAACTACATATATATATATATATATAATGGGCTGAGCTGTAAACAGTGATTGAATAGATGAGTATTGGTGCATTTTGATTAAGAATTTTTTGTCTTGGTAGATTTGAATGGCACATTTAATTAAAATTGTCTTTTAATTTCACACTGAGGCAAATGTACTGTTTTTATTGTCATCTTATCCTTTGCCTTTATTTATTAGGTATGAATTTCAGCCCTTTATTTCCTTCTAATTTTGGAGATTTTTCTCAGAATATTTCTACGCCCAAGGAACAGCAGCAACCATTAGCACAGAATTCTTCAGGGACAACAGAGTGTATGGCTTTTCCGAAGCCTTTTGAAAGCAGTTCTTCTGTTGCAGCAGAGAAACAGAGGTACCTGATCGTGAACGTAATCCATTATTTGCTTAAATGTCATTTTTGTTACCATATTAATTATATGTAAGTTGAAAATGCAGTTAAGGGGGAAGTTTGTGATTGTTTGACTCAGTAGTGTTGGGAATATGAAGCTTTGACCGTCTCCCCAGATTTCTCTCAGGCACACTTGCTGCTAAGCCTGGTGCACAAGCAATTCAGAGTTTTGATCAGGGTGTCCTGTAAGGTTCATTTCGGAAATATTAGACCTGACACATGGAGTGTCTTTGGCCTTAATTTGTTGCCTGTCTTTAAGTTCACTGACTTAAGGCTAGAAACTACCCCGAAGTGCTAGAGGATAGTCGGAAACTGAGAGCGCCTTTATCTGATTCATAGCTCCTGATCAGGATATGGTCTTTAGGCCTATCCGATGTTAGATTATAAACACAACTTTAACCAAGGAAGTTTTATGATGTGGTAGCATTCATAGGATTTCTTTTTCTCAATTTATTAATTTTTTCAACATGATAACCTTCCCAAATACAGTTTTTGACTCAAATAGTGTGAAAGATAAGGTGGATTGGGTCAGGTTAATTATTCTGTAAACATTCTTATGCTAGATGCATAGTACTTTTATGATTGTGTTAATCCAGGAAATGATCTTTTTGATACCTGATTAGTGAAAATACTACAGCCTTTTAATTGCATTTGTTGTTTAGTTCAGAAAAAAAACTTTTTAGAAGGATGAAAATTAGAGGTCATTGGAACCTAATATTTGTTCTCTCAGAAGTATTTCTTTGATTTTGTTTTTCCTAGCCCTTTACAAATAAGTCACATTACCTTTTACTTTAATTGTGTGATTGGGCATGTGTGGGGCTCCAGGCCCTACAGCTTCTGTCGTAACCTTTTATCTCTGCCATTTTTTAACAAAAGCAGCCATAAACAACATGTAACCAAGTGACTATGTTCCAATAACACTTACGGGCAGTGAAATTTGAATTTTATATAAATTGTGTCACTCTTTCTCTTTAATTTTTTTTTTCAACCACCTAAGAATATAAAAGCCATTTTAGCTCTCAGACCATTCAAAGACCAATCAGGTTGGATTTGGCCTGCAAATTGTAAGTTTGCTTTATAGGTCAGTGGCTCCAAAATTATATTCTTCAGAACACTATTGTCCATGTCAGGTTCTGGACATAAAGTTTTGGATGTCTTACTCACTGTGTGTCCTTCTGAGATATTTATAAAGCACACGGGCATATTAACATTCTGTGGAATCCTGCATACCTGTTTAACTTAGCTTTGCTTATATTTTCCCAAACTTAGATAACCAGTAAATACCTGGTAATGTCTTAAGGGATGACAGTGTTTAGCAAATAAAATTTGGAAAATGACACTAGACCAACAGAACTAAACTAGACTTAATGTGTGGAGAAGTAAGTTACTAGTTGTGTGGCTGATTGTTTTAAACAAATTCTGGTTCTATTTGAACTACTGTAGGTGACAGAGATCCATGTATGTTCGCAAATCTTCTACTATAGATCTTTCTCTGCTGTTCCTCCAAGTTTTTATTTGTGTCTGTTTGTATGTCCTATTCTTCCTTGCTTTTTCTTCTCCACTCTTTTCCGTCATAAATGCTAGCTCTTTGGAACTTTTGCCCAGTAAAAATGGTTTAGTGAGAAGGGTCCAATGGTAAAATCTAAAGTAATCTAATACATTGATGTAGTCTGTGTAATATTTACACATCTGTATATTTTTATGAAAATATTTTTATAGCCTGTTGACAATTTTATTTACCTAAACCTAATAGTGAACTGTAAATTAAGTATATCTGGAGTTATCAGTAAACACAGAAATCTGTCAATGTAATCTATAAAAATTTATTTTCATTTGGTAAGAAATCAAAAGCAGCCTGAAGAGGAGGTGGAAAATAGTAGGACACCATGGCTATATGAGCAAGAAGGTGAAGGAGAAAAACCATTTAACAAGGCTGGATTCACAGTGTCTGTAGAGAAAACTACAAATAGTCATCGCAAAAATCAATTAGATCCGAGCAGGAGAAGACGCCAGTTTGATGAAGAGTCCTTGGAAAGCTTTAGCAGTATGCCCGATCCAGTAGATCCGACAGCAGTGACGAAAACATTCAAGACAAGGAAGGCATCTGCACAGGCCAGCCTGGCATCTAAAGATAAAAGTCCAAAATCAAAGAGTAAGAAAAGGCATTCTACACAGCTGAAAAGCAGAGTTAAAAATATTGGTAAGTAGGGAAATCTGTTGAATATCGATCAGTACAAATGTTGGTAATCTTACTCTGACATGTTGAATAGTTAATTTTAGTTAATTTCAGTATGGCTAGATAGGTAGGCACTGTTCTAGACTTACTTGAACCAAGTCATTTTTAGTTACCTTTATAATTTTTTTTTACAAAGTTTTTCAAATAGGTTTAATGTAGATATTTTAAAACATGGCATTTATTCTTTTTTGTGCTTCTTAAGGCTTATATTTCCTATATACGTGGTTACTATGAGCTCAGAAGATACTTTCCAAATCTTGTAGGTTACTAAAAATTGCCCAAATGCTCATGTTTTACTATTCTGTCTCTTTTAATATTATATTTTATCTTATATCTAACACTATAAATTTGGACATGTAACTACATTGCAGTCTTTGAATATCATCTAGATGAAACCACTTTTAAAACAATTTCCTCTTAGTGCTTTAGGAACTGGACTTTAGTTATTAATAAGGTAAAACATTAACCCATATTTTACTGGATCTTGCCATTGAGTATCAAAGGAAAGTTCTCTTTCAATGTTAACTGCATGCCACTTTAAAAAAAAAAAAGTTTTCTATGATTTTTGGAGAATTTGCTAAAGTCTAGTACTAGATTAAAATAGTTTTATTGGCTAAAATATGGGTTATCATAGTTAAAGGATGCACCTTCAAGTTGGCAGGGGGTATTTTCTGGCTGTGGCTTTGAGAGATTGTTCTGAGTTCAAGGAGATAGTATTTGGTGCTTAAGAACAAAGTATTCTAAGCTTAAAATAAGAAAAGCTTGAAAAAATCCCTGTACACTGCTAACACCCTCTCTTGGAAGCTCAAAATATATGTAAAGATGTGAAAGTCCTGGAAAGCCCTGTAGTAAAAAATGCACTTGTAAACCCTGACAGCTCATCTTAGCCATTTTTGGTTAATGGAGACCTCTGATGAAAGCCGTGGATGTTAAAAAGAATATGTGCATGTTTTTCCATTTCAGCTCTTCATGTATCCTTCATGTCCTTGGCTCCTACCCCTACCCCATCTGGATGGTTAAACAAGCAGATTTGAAAAGGAGTGACATTTTTCTCAGTGTATTCATTTCTTGAAAAATTTTCTAGTATATATGTTTGAGAAGAGCTGATTTCTTTAGTAAGTTAGTCAGTGATCTGAACACGCACAAATAAATGAAAATAACTACTATGCTTTCTCCATACCACCGGAGAACATATAAGTAAATGATAGCCATTTTGAGAGAGGTCCTTCGGGTAATGCATAACAGTGATTGAATAGATGAGTATTGGTGCATTTTGATTAAGAATTTTTTGTCTTATATATATATATATATATAATGGGCTGAGCTGTAAACAGTGATTGAATAGATGAGTATTGGTGCATTTTGATTAAGAATTTTTTGTCTTGGTAGATTTGAATGGCACATTTAATTAAAATTGTCTTTTAATTTCACACTGAGGCAAATGTACTGTTTTTATTGTCATCTTACCCTTTGCCTTTATTTATTAGGTATGAATTTCAGCCCTTTATTTCCTTCTAATTTTGGAGATTTTTCTCAGAATATTTCTACGCCCAAGGAACAGCAGCAACCATTAGCACAGAATTCTTCAGGGACAAAAGAGTGTATGGCTTTTCCGAAGCCTTTTGAAAGCAGTTCTTCTGTTGCAGCAGAGAAACAGAGGTACCTGATTGTGAACGTAATCCATTATTTGCTTAAATGTCATTTTTGTTACCATATTAATTATATGTAAGTTGAAAATGCAGTTAAGGGGGAAGTTTGTGATTGTTTGACTCAGTAGTGTTGGGAATATGAAGCTTTGACCGTCTCCCCAGATTTCTCTCAGGCACACTTGCTGCTAAGCCTGGTGCACAAGCAATTCAGAGTTTTGATCAGGGTGTCCTGTAAGGTTCATTTCGGAAATATTAGACCTGACACATGGAGTGTCTTTGGCCTTAATTTGTTGCCTGTCTTTAAGTTCACTGACTTAAGGCTAGAAACTACCCCGAAGTGCTAGAGGATAGTCGGAAACTGAGAGCGCCTTTATCTGATTCATAGCTCCTGATCAGGATATGGTCTTTAGGCCTATCCGATGTTAGATTATAAACACAACTTTAACCAAGGAAGTTTTATGATGTGGTAGCATTCATAGGATTTCTTTTTCTCAATTTATTAATTTTTTCAACATGATAACCTTCCCAAATACAGTTTTTGACTCAAATAGTGTGAAAGATAAGGTGGATTGGATCAGGTTAATTATTCTGTAAACATTCTTATGCTAGATGCATAGTACTTTTATGATTGTGTTAATCCAGGAAATGATCTTTTTGATACCTGATTAGTGAAAATACTACAGCCTTTTAATTGCATTTGTTATTTAGTTCAGAAAAAAAACTTTTTAGAAGGATGAAAATTAGAGGTCATTGGAACCTAATATTTGTTCTCTCAGAAGTATTTCTTTGATTTTGTTTTTCCTAGCCCTTTACAAATAAGTCACATTACCTTTTACTTTAATTGTGTGATTGGGCATGTGTGGGGCTCCAGGCCCTACAGCTTCTGTCGTAACCTTTTATCTCTGCCATTTTTTAACAAAAGCAGCCATAAACAACATGTAACCAAGTGACTATGTTCCAATAACACTTATGGGCAGTGAAATTTGAATTTCATATAAATTGTGTCACTCTTTCTCTTTAATTTTTTTTTTCAACCACCTAAGAATATAAAAGCCATTTTGGCTCTCAGACCATTCAAAGACAGGCATCAGGTTGGATTTGGCCTGCAAATTGTAAGTTTGCTTTATAGGTCAGTGGCTCCAAAATTATATTCTTCAGAACACTATTGTCCATGTCAGGTTCTGGACAGAAAGTTTTGGATGTCTTACTCACTGTGTGTCCTTCTGAGATAGTTATAAAGCACACGGGCATATTAACATTCTGTGGAATCCTGCATACCTGTTTAACTTAGCTTTGCTTATATTTTCCCAAACTTAGATAACCAGTAAATACCTGGTAATGTCTTAAGGGATGACAGTGTTTAGCAAATAAAATTTGGAAAATGACACTAGACCAACAGAACTAAACTAGACTTAATGTGTGGAGAAGTAAGTTACTAGTTGTGTGGCTGATTGTTTTAAACAAATTCTGGTTCTATTTGAACTACTGTAGGTGACAGAGATCCATGTATGTTCGCAAATCTTCTACTATAGATCTTTCTCTGCTGTTCCTCCAAGTTTTTATTTGTGTCTGTTTGTATGTCCTATTCTTCCTTGCTTTTTCTTCTCCACTCTTTTCTGTCATAAATGCTAGCTCTTTGGAACTTTTGCCCAGTAAAAATGGTTTAGTGAGAAGGGTCCAATGGTAAAATCTAAAGTAATCTAATACATTGATGTAGTCTGTGTAATATTTACACATCTGTATATTTTTATGAAAATATTTTTATAGCCTGTTGACAATTTTATTTACCTAAACCTAATAGTGAACTGTAAATTAAGTATATCTGGAGTTATCAGTAAACACAGAAATCTGTCAATGTAATCTATAAAAATTTATTTTCATTTGGTAAGAAATCAAAAGCAGCCTGAAGAGGAGGTGGAAAATAGTAGGACACCATGGCTATATGAGCAAGAAGGTGAAGGAGAAAAACCATTTAACAAGGCTGGATTCACAGTGTCTGTAGAGAAAACTACAAATAGTCATCGCAAAAATCAATTAGATCCGAGCAGGAGAAGACGCCAGTTTGATGAAGAGTCCTTGGAAAGCTTTAGCAGTATGCCCGATCCAGTAGATCCGACAGCAGTGACGAAAACATTCAAGACAAGGAAGGCATCTGCACAGGCCAGCCTGGCATCTAAAGATAAAAGTCCAAAATCAAAGAGTAAGAAAAGGCATTCTACACAGCTGAAAAGCAGAGTTAAAAATATTGGTAAGTAGGGAAATCTGTTGAATATCGATCAGTACAAATGTTGGTAATCTTACTCTGACATGTTGAATAGTTAATTTTAGTTAATTTCAGTATGGCTAGATAGGTAGGCACTGTTCTAGACTTACTTGAACCAAGTCATTTTTAGTTACCTTTATAATTTTTTTTTACAAAGTTTTTCAAATAGGTTTAATGTAGATATTTTAAAACATGGCATTTATTCTTTTTTGTGCTTCTTAAGGCTTATATTTCCTATATACGTGGTTACTATGAGCTCAGAAGATACTTTCCAAATCTTGTAGGTTACTAAAAATTGCCCAAATGCTCATGTTTTACTATTCTGTCTCTCTTAATATTATATTTTATCTTATATCTAACACTATAAATTTGGACATGTAACTACATTGCAGTCTTTGAATATCATCTAGATGAAACCACTTTTAAAACAATTTCCTCTTAGTGCTTTAGGAACTGGACTTTAGTTATTAATAAGGTAAAACATTAACCCATATTTTACTGGATCTTGCCATTGAGTATCAAAGGAAAGTTCTCTTTCAATGTTAACTGCATGCCACTTTAAAAAAAAAAAGTTTTCTATGATTTTTGGAGAATTTGCTAAAGTCTAGTACTAGATTAAAATAGTTTTATTGGCTAAAATCTGGGTTATCATAGTTAAAGGATGCACCTTCAAGTTGGCAGGGGGTATTTTCTGGCTGTGGCTTTGAGAGATTGTTCTGAGTTCAAGGAGATAGTATTTGGTGCTTAAGAACAAAGTATTCTAAGCTTAAAATAAGAAAAGCTTGAAAAAATCCCTGTACACTGCTAACACCCTCTCTTGGAAGCTCAAAATATATGTAAAGATGTGAAAGTCCTGGAAAGCCCTGTAGTAAAAAATGCACTTGTAAACCCTGACAGCTCATCTTAGCCATTTTTGGTTAATGGAGACCTCTGATGAAAGCCGTGGATGTTAAAAAGAATATGTGCATGTTTTTCCATTTCAGCTCTTCATGTATCCTTCATGTCCTTGGCTCCTACCCCTACCCCATCTGGATGGTTAAACAAGCAGATTT